AACTATGCCATTGTAGCATGAAAGCAATGTGTGACCAATGACCATGGCTGTTCCCCAATAAAAATTATATATTACATATATATATGTATATATATAATATATATAATTTTATATATATGTATATAGTCATGGGGATGTGCCATACAGTATGGGGAATATAATCAATAATGTTGTAAAATCTATGTATGGTGTCAGATGGGTAGCTATAATTAAAAAATATATATATATAGTCACAGGATGTTAAGTACAGCATAGGTAATACAGTTAATGGAACTGTAATAGATATCTATGTACAGTGTCAGGGGTAGTAGACTCGTTGGGGTTATCACTTTGTGAGGTGTGTAAATATCTAATTATGTTGTTTTGTATACTGGAAACTAATAAAAAAGTAAAATTAGCTTAAATATTTAAAAAATATATGCCAAGTTATGTGTAATTTTGGTAGTTTAAAAAGAAAATGACAGACACATACTTCCATGTCTACAATCCAAGATTGAAACACTGAAACAGCTTATAAGTAACATGTCATTTATTACATTTGTCATATGTAAATTTTAGAAATAATTTTTTATTGTATAACCACACCTCGAAAAGAGCATAGAACACAGAGAAAACATTAAACTGACATACAGAGGGTGCCCCAAAAAAGTATACACATTTTAAGAAAGTGAAAAACTATTAAAATTGTAATACTCAATATATACTGATAACAAAAGATGAATACAAGTCATGTGTATACATTTTTTGGCACCCCTGGTATAAATGAATGATTAAATGTTTTAGTGATAATTATTTTAAATGAACCTTAGAGTTAACATATATTTCCATCTTCATATTGAGTTGAAAAAAACAGGTAGATATTGTATTCATTTATTTTTTTGAATCTTTTCAATAAGCTAGGTAGGTAAGGATAAATACCCTTTGAATATATTGAAACTTACGTGGTATCAAGTGAAGGTTAAGACTTGAATATGCTAAAATTGATTACATAAGGAAATACTTTTTCTGTTTTGGGGCAGAGGAGGAAGAAAAAATGGTAAAGATAGTTATATGCTAATTACTGGAAAAATACTCATAATTGTATATCATGACTTAAGATTTTGTTTCTCACAGTTGAATATTGGTACGTGTTTTCTGAGGCAAAATATAGTTGACGTTTTCTCTGTGCATAGTTACTAAAATGGTGACTTGTAGAGAAATAGAACATAATCAATATATTAGTTGAATTATATTTTTATAAAAGGTAATATTACTTTTAATATGTGTAGCTGGAATATATTTTCTAGTTTCAAGATGATGTTGAAGAATTACCTTTTCCTTGTAAAAGCCACTTAGTTCTTTTATGAGAGGCCTTAAGATTTGTCTGCTTTTAACCTCTAGTGTCATTTTAATTTCATGTATTTTTTTTTCTTCCTGCATTTCCAAGTACCCAGTAAGCCATCTGTAAAAATTGCTTCCATGATGAAGGAATGAATGCCTTTGCCAGTTTTTTATACTATAAGCTTTAGGCTTTAAATAAAGTATGCATTTTTAAACTATAGATTTAGTCTTAATTATCTTGTATTTCCCCCCCAAATAAAAAATAAAATGGAACGTCTACTTTTATCTGTTTATTCAGTTACAAATGTTGTTTTATTCAGTTAAAATGTTTGAATATAACTAACAAAAATAAATTTTTTTTTAAAAAGATTTTATTGGGGGATTGGGGAAGGGGAATAGTGTTGGGGAATTGGGGAAAGGGAACAGACAAGTTGTTGTCCTTCAATCTTAGTTTTGGAGGGCACAGCTAGCTCAGCTCCAAGTCCAGTCACCATCCAGCTGCCCATCGGCAGCTCAGGGATCTCAGCTCAAGGTGCCGTGTTCAATCTTAATTATGGGTGAGCATAACCCACCATCCCATGCAGGAGTCAAACCGGCAACCTTGTTGTTAGGAGCATGTGCTCTCACCAGCTGAGCCATCCTGCCACCTATTGGTGGCTCAGCAGCAGCTCAGCTCGGGTGCTGGTCACTGGCCCATGTGGGAATCGAACTGGTGACCCTGTTGCTCAGAGCTTGTGCTTTTAATCAGCTGAGCCACTTGGCTGGCCCCATAACTAACAAAATTTAGTAACTTTTTGAATTACAGAATTTTAGAGAAAGTATAGTTGTTTCTTTCACAAACTTTTTGTACTGACTTTACTATCACAAGAATATTTTTTTGTGTGTTGATTAAAGTTGAGAGAATAATGCTAGGAAGTGGTTCCTTGACAGCAGGTCTTTGGATATAGCGTGTAATGTGCTGCCTTCTCATCTGATTTGATACAGTAGAAGCATGGTTAGTCTAGAGAGAATAAGTTTCCAGTGTTACTTCTCTGACCCCTCCATGCATCATTTAAAGCTAACACTTTCTGCTCCTTAGAAATCTTTCCTCTTTTGCATTCTATTTCTTGAACTTAAGCAAAACAAAACAAAACATGATACAATGCCACTTCTTGTGTTTCTCATGACCCTTATTTATAGGTATCCTCCAAATTTTACTGGATAATAAGTCTGTTTTTCCTCTATATTTATTCCTTTTGTGAACTCATCCACACTTGGCTTGTATTGTACTTTTTTACATGATTGATTTACAAACCTTGGACTATTCTAAATCACAATTTCTACCTGTTGTTGGGAAACAATTTCATTTGAATAACCTATGGTAACACTGGACTTACTATCCAAAATAAAAGTCACTCCACCCCATTACTGTGGGTTTCTTTCATTGTGTCCCAGGCGAGTGAGAACTTTTGAGGTAACCTTTCCTTCTCTACTATCTTTTGTTGTTCCTGTACTTAATTTAGCATGAAGTCCTCTTGTTTCTCTGTTTAAGATGTATCTTGGGGTTCCCATTCCCTCTGCTTTTCCTCATTTTCACTATACAGACCCTCATCACCTCATACCTTAATTCACTGCACCCACTTTCACACCACCCTCTGCCTTTTTTTTTTTAAAGCTTCCCAATCTCCCTGCAGTGACTTTTTAAAATGTATACCAAGTTGTTTTGGCATATTTTCCTTAAATAGAGAGTAATTGTAAGAATTTTTACTTATACTGCCCTCTGGGCACAGTGCTAGATGAAGTAGCTAATCACTAGGTAATTGTTCACTAATTCATTCAGCAGCTATTTATTGAGTAGTTACTGGGTTCCCTGTGCTCCAGTTACTTTCTCTCAGGGAGCTTGTAGCTAAATAGTCTTTTGTGATTCAGGAAGCCTTCTCGGAGGAAGTGGCATTTGTTAGGAGACTTGAAAGTGAGAGAGCCGGTTCTATAACGTTATGGGGAACAATTGCTCCAGGCTGAGAAAACAGCTGAAGAGGGACAGCTTTGTTATATTGGGGGAATATCAAAGTGGTCATTGTGACTGGAACATAGTAGGGAGACAGAGTGGTGGGAGACGTAGTCAGAATACCAGGTGACAGAATGCCTACTAGGCCATGGTAGGTAAGTACTATGGATTTTTTTCTAAGTGATGGGTAAGCCATTGGACAATTTTGGGTTCGAAAGTGATGTGAGCTGTTATATTTGTCACTGAGTTAAGAATAGAAGTAGGGAGCTAGGGCCGGCCGAGTGGCTCAGTTGGTTAAGAGCTCGCTCAAGGGTTTGAGCTCTGAGCAACAGTGGTTCGAGTCCAGCCCGAGCTGAGCAGCCGCTGAGC